AGAAAAGTAACCAAAACATATACCTAATATAAGTTGTGAAGAATTATTGTTTTTTACTTTTTGGCCCCAATCTTCTGAGATATTTTCTTTACCAGTCCAAATGGAATTGAAATTATAATTCTTGGTAAATGAGTTGCATATACTTTAAATCCCTACCTTGTAATTTTTTTCTGACTTGTTAGGAAATTTCCAATCAGAGTATCAAAACTGACATATAGTATTTTCCTTCAGGAATCTCAGGATGACTAGGATCTAACATTATTTAGCAGTTAACGGAAGAACTACATATTTTAACTATATAAATTATATGATATATCTCAATAATGCCACTTTTAAAATCTAATAGAGTTTCCATCTTACTGTCTTATTAGTTTTATTAATTTACTCAACACCTCTAGGAAAAATGAGTGTCTTAGAAGACTACAATTTGCCAGACATGACGGCGCATGCCTGCAATCCTAGCACTTGGGAAGCTGAGACAGGAGGATCGCCACACATTAGACGCCAGCCTGAGCCTCTTTGTGAGACCTTGTCTCAAAAAATTAAAAAATTAAACTATTTCATATTTGTTACTTTGGGGGCTGGGTAACCAGGGATCAAACTCACAACCTCATACTTAACCAGGCAGGCGCTTGTGCTGCTGAGCTAAGTCCCAGGCCCCTCATATTTGTAACAGCAATTCTGAGGACTATATTTATAATTAAGCCTTGTGATCCCCCTCTGCCCAATGAAAATGGTTTGCTAACCAAGTAACAATCTAAAAAAAGTAGTTTGAGTCACTCACCAAGTTTTGCTTTCTAAAAGAAAAATAGATCACTACCCTACCTAGCATGAAGAACTACAAAGGACTTAACAAAAGATTCTCAAAACAAATATTACTTAAAAAAAACTGAGCCCAAACTGTGCCTTCCCATGAGCAGCCTGTGTGGGCTGAGAGACAAGAAGCACAACACCCCACACACACAAACCCTGGTAAGCAATGGGCTGATTCAGAGGAAGTCAGGCTGAGATGACAGCAACTGCGGTTAAAAAAAATTAAATAACTTAATGCTTGTATTGTTTGATTGACTTCGCAGCCATAAAAGCTGGTGGTCTGAACATCTATTTGGAGGATAACAATATGCAGTATAGCAACCGTGGGATTTCCTTCTATCTTGTTTTTGAAATCCAATGTTTGGTTCTGTTTTACTCTTTTGTTTTATTCCTGTATCTGGTAACCTGAGCAACTATTTATAATAACCATTGTTAAATTCCTATCATCTTGGTTTGAAAACCTATAAAGCTATTATTTAAAAAAATGAGACCAACCATAGCAGAAATTATTATTTAGCAGCACACAACAAACAGCTAAAACTGTTGTATAGCTCAACACACATAACCAATAGCTCTCAGTATATATAAACTTGGGTTTTAAAATTCTGACCAGGGCTCACACTATGAACTGAATGAAAGACTTCCTGCTTGTCAAACGAGGTACCTCTGAAGCAAGTTAAGAATGCAAATACCTATGGAACACTGATATAGATACAAAAATATTGTATTTATTTTTCTAATTTTTTTATTATTTATAGTTTGAACTTTTATTTTCCAACAAATATTTTGTTTCCTTTCTGCTTTAATAAGTTGTCATTTTTCAAAATGCATGTTCTTGTCCATTTGATTTAATGCTAAGAAATTAATCTATCATCTGGGTACAAGTTGATACCCGCAAAAGAAGTTGCAGAGAGGTCAGAAAGGCAACAAACTTTTGTTTTTCCTTCAGCTTCCTGGCTATTTTCCAAGAATTTGGAATGACCTCCCCATAATGTTTTCTAATTCTTTTTATAGAAAGTTATTTCCTATTTAAATGATACTCATGTTGAACAGAAGACATGCAACTATTATTTTCAGGCTGAAATGTTTTTTATATGTATCAATTTTTTTCATAGGGTCAATGAAAAAGTTCAGTCTAATTTGTAGAAAATTAGTTATAACTTTTCAATTTGTTGGTAGTGATGGGGATGGTTGTTGTCTGAGACAGGGTATTGCTGTCCAATACAGGCTGGCCTCAGATTCACAGTTATCCTCCTGCCTCAGCCTCCCAAATGCTGAGATTACAGGTGTGTACCACCACACCGTACTACTAAATTCTCAATTTGTAATATGGTACTTAAACAACTCCATAGAGTGTTTCTCAAAATGATACACAGGAAAAAAAGTTTTACCAAGTTTTCTTCTTGCTCTTCTACCTCAATTTATTTCAATTAATCTTCTAACTCAATGAATTATTACAATAGAAATACAATTCTTTCTTGTTTTTACAAGCAAATGCTTAAGTAACCATGTTGGATAAAATATGCGAATAATTTTAATGCAAAATTAGTTATGTTTTCACTTGAGAACAGGAAAATGGAATAGGATAAAAGGCCATCACAAAATAAGTATTTTACAACACTTGAAAAATACCAAAAAAAAAAAAAAGATTTTTTTTCCATTTTAATGGCAGGAGGAAATGGGTTAATTGACATTGCTTGTTTAACACTGTTTTTAATTAGTGATAATCAAAATTATCAAAAGTACTATCTCACGGGAAAACACCATAATACAGTAGTAGCTACTGGCTATTAACTTTGAAGTGATTGTTTACTTTTAATTTACAAACTAAAGTAGAAGCTCATTTACCTAATTAATGCAGTTTATAAAAACTGTACCTATGTATCATAATTTGGGAAGGTTAGGAAAAAATTTTTAAATTGAGAATGTACAGAATCACATATACATGTTCCTTCCTTTTTGTTGTACCATTTACATGCAAGATGTTTTTTCATACATTATACCATTTATATACAAATAAATAATAATAATTTAGTACATATCACAAGTAGATCTGTCCATTTTTATGATAGTTACAGATAACATGGTTAACTTCCGCAGACATCTGTGCTACACACGGCCATCAAAATAATCATGGCATGCTCTTGTGACACCAAAAGAGGCCAAGCCTGTTGTGAAATGATTACTTCCAACAAAAGCCTGCTTCAATTATTATTTAGTTATATGGTATACAGCTAAAATAACAATATTATAAAGTTGCTGTTGCCTTTGACGCACCAATTTTCAACGTATTTGTAAACCAAGATAAACACCATCAGATTACTATAAATAATTATGAATCTGGATTTTTGATTCCCACTTCTTCAACAAAACGATGCCATTTGATCCCAAATCTTGGTTGCTCCCTTGACAGAATAACCTCCCACAGAAGACAGGGGATGGCTTTCATGCCTAAACAGGAAGCTCACCCTGCCCATGACTCTAGACTCCAGATGAATTCAGACATTGCACTTCAGAAAGACTTCTTTGTTGTTTCAGTATCAAATCACCATTTAGCGTTTTCTAATTGTTTCCACTCCTACACCACAGAGAATCTCTTTAATACTGAAAAAGTTTTTACAGTTTTTGCCTAATTTATTGGGCAAAATTTTACCTCATCTTGTAAAGAAAATTCCTAATTTCTTTGGTTTGGGTACATAAAGATAAGTTACAAGTACAAAATGAACACTCTCCTCCCAAGATTGTTTTATTGACCATAAAAGAAAACACAGGCTGGGGGTTTAGGTCAGCGGTGCAAGTTCCTGCTTGGCACATGCGAGGTCGTGAGTTCGATCCCCAACACCAAAAAAAAAGAAGAAAACACAAAACAAGAATCTGAATTTTGCTGGTAACTACTGAGCATGACAGTCAAAACAATTTCCTAAAGGAAAGAGCTCTAGGGATCTTGTAGCTTTAACTGATCCTTTTTTGCTCCTTTCTCCTGCAAAAGACAACTGTGAAATTAGAACGTGGGGGGGGGGGCGGCTGGGATTCAGCTCAGCGGTATAAGCACCTGCCTGACAAGTACTAGGTCATGAGTTCGATTCCCCAGTACCAAAAAATACATACACATACGTACACATATACATAAAATAAAGGAATTAGAACTCTACTCTAAACAGGACAACATCAACGTTGAGTCTTCTAGCCAGGAAGAGTTACTCTAGTGTGCACAAAGGCGTAAAGATGGATTCGCTCCAGCAAATGCCCAGGGCCTACCCACTTCAGGATTAACTTCTGACATGACAAGACTATGAGGGGACACTTATAAGGCAGCCAGAACTGGATTTCTCAGCCAGCAGCTCTATACTTGGAGGGGGCGGTTTCTCTTCACCAGACTCAGCTGCCGCGTGCTCTAAAATACCTTAGATTTAAAAACTACAGGGAAAAGAAAACCAAAACGACCAAACGCACAGGTTTCAGATCTCCGGTGGCCGTTCCGAGAGCAAAACAAGCGCGCAGGCGCATCCTCAGGTTGTCAGGAATAAACATAAGTACTCATCAACTTTAAGGAAGTGGTTCCTGCAAGCTCCGCGGCCTTTTTGTTTGTGTTTTTAACGCAATCGCATTTTCAGTGACTATAAACATATCGCTTTGAGAGATGTTTAACTATGGAGCTCAAACCAGTTCACTCTCGGAAAAAGGGAAATCATTTTCAGTGCAAATGTAACACTTCTTAACCACACACCCAGAGAACTCAATCATAACGGCCCAATGAATGTGTTTCAAGGTATGAACTAGTTTACTTCCCAAGAAAGCTATCAAGAAAAAATGCTCTGCAACAAAGCCGAGTTGAACCATGACTCAAACACCAGGGTGGGGTGCAGCCTGCGGAGTCAATTTTGCGCCTCCGTGGGAACCGCGAGGGGCTTAAGTGCTTTGAAAGGAAACTGGAGGTGGGGGGACAGTTTTGTCTCCGTTGAAAGAGGACGGACTGCAGCGAGCAGAGGGTGCCTGCTGTCACCTCTGCGACGTCAAACTCGCTTTACGAAGGAATCAGTTAACTCACCCCCACCCGTACGCCCACTCTCTGCTCCCCAGCAGGTACACACGCAGTCCTCCGCCTCGGGGGGTGACAGCCCGAAGACAAAGCCGTGAGCCCCGAGCCCCCGGGGCTGCAGACCCCTGGGACGCGCCCCCGCGCCTACCTTGATGCCCTGCTGCTGTGTAGTGAGCGTTAGCTTGGATTCATCCAGGAGCAAAACTTCGCAGTAAAATTCTTCCGGAACAGCGCAGAAACAGCCCATGTCGGCGAAGACCTGCTCTAGCCAGGCTTGGGGAAGCCGCCGCCGAGTCGCCCCCTCCCCTCCGGCGCGAAGCTTTAATTTATTGTCCGAGCCGCAGCGAGGGGTAGCGCAGTAGCTCCCAGTGGGGTCCGAGCCGAGCGGCCCGAGCGCAGGCACCGCCGGGAGGCGGAGAGCAGGGGAGTCAGCACCCGGGCGCCGCCGGGGCCACGCGCGAGGACCCGGGTGCGGCCCCGTGCATCCCGCAGTTCCGGCGCTTCCGAAGGCTGGGGGCGCACGGCGCCTCGGGGGACCTGCAGGAGGCAGAAATCGCGGCAGTGGGGACCAGAGAAAGAAAAAAGATAAGCCGGGAAGCCCCGCAGCTCCCTCCACCCGCGCCCGGGCGAGCGCGGCCGCCCCTCTGCCTCGGGTCCCGGCGGGCGAGCGCGTCCTGCGCCACAGCCACAGGCCGGACGCGGGGCTCTCTCCCTCGGCTGCTCTTTTGTGTTAGGATTCACGACAGACATCTCAGCCAGGGGCACAGGAGGGGCACCGGCCCGGGTCGTCACTCGGGCGACTTCCCCCAGATCCCGAGCGCAGGGGCCGAGAGGGCTCCGGAGGGCAACGTCTTACCGAGACCAGCGAGGTCAGCTCGGGGTGGGGCGCGGCTCCCGTCTGGGGGCCCCCTAACTCATCCCCGGGGCCCCGGGAGGCCAAGCTCCAGCTCCAGCTCCGTCTCCGGAATGCCCCGCCGCCCCTGCGGAGTGCTGCGGCTCCTGCAGGACGTGCAGAGCGCAGGGAGTCGGAGGCACCGCGGGCAGCGGCGCGGAGAAGCCGGCGCCCCACAGGAGCGCGGCGGGTGGGGGCAGGGGTGTCCGGGGTGCCCGGGGAAAGTTCTTTCGGCGGCGCGAAAGGTGGCGCCCCGGGCGGGAGTAGCCCGGGGACAGCTGGGTCCGATCCAGATGTCAGCAAAAAGTCCGGGAGCGAAGCGGGAACCCCTTGACCGCCGCAGGGTCGCCCCTTCTGGGCGGGTCTCAACCGAGGGTTGAGGGCGGAGCAGAGGTGTCTTAAGGGCTAGGTACCGGCAGGTCGGCGCGGAAGCCGCGGAACGTGCCGGGCCAAGCTTTCGACCCGAGCGCGCGGGCTCGGTTTCCCTAGGAGACCGGCAGGCCGGCTCCGGAGGGCAGGGCGCAGCTCGGCTTCGACCCCGGCCTTCGGCGAGCCCAGCCCCACGCCCTCCGCGCAGCCCGCCGCTTCCCGGACCGGCGGACACAATAGCTCTGAGGCTGCAGTGACCCCTGGTGGGCCCTCGAGTCCGCGCACAGGCAGCAGCGCTGAACTGCGCACCAGGCAGGGGGCTCTCGCTGGCCTTGGAGCAGGTGCAATCCGTGCTCTCCAGCTGGGAACCAGCGGCGAGCTAATGCGAGTCACAATTAAGAGGAGACACGAAATGACACGGGGCAGGTTGAACGTAGGTCGCACAGAAAATTCTCTGCTCTGCACTATTAGAAAGAACAAGAGCTTTGTTATCAGATAGTCCGTCTTGAGTTCCTTCTATTACTTGTTGGCTTTGGTAGCCAAAGCTCAAAATGTTTGCCTAGAACCAAGGGCCTTAATGCTAAAATAATACACACACACACACACACACACACACACACACACACACACTGGCTTCCGCAGAGGAGTAGAAATAAAATGAACAAATTGGCCCCATGGAGGGTTTCCTTCCATAGTGATTTGCAAGAACTTTGTACAAAGTCTCATCCTTCCCTGCAGCTGCGGCCCCTAAGCTACACAGTGAATCTGCATCACTCCCAAAGTACCATATAAATCTCATGTTTGGTATTAAGTTTACCTAAAATTATGAATAAATTCCTATTTTATCTTCCAAACTTCCTGGAAAATTGAAGCCGGTTTTGAATTTCTAATCATATTCTGTATCCAACTTCGAGATTTATTTTGAAAAACATTTCCAAGTTTTAGTGTCTCTACTTGTGGAGGGTTTTCTTTTCTGCAGTGTTGCTGTCCTGACCCCACTTGCCAAATGTGACTGAAAGGCGTCATATTTTTTCACTCTACCACAGTATTCAACGGAGCCAACTAAGCTTTCAGAAACAAGAAAAAAGGTCCAAGCATAACCTCTTGCTTCCCAATTTTGAATTTTGCAGCCGCCTGTTTTATGGTCCTTTGCCTTGGTTTGTTTGTGTTTGCTTTTTACCTCCAATGGTAATAGAAAGGCTGGGAGTTTGGAGAGGGGCAGGAATTCTGTCCCATGCTGCTCAAAGGGAAAGGGCAACGACATGCCCCATACCATGACAGCCTATTCTGATTGAAGCATTTACTTTTCGTCTCTTTGTCAGGAGCTAGAGAGAAAAGAAAAATTTTAAGTGTGTTTAACACAAAATGAGAGGTACAATTCCACAGATTTTTGAGCAGCATAATTGGCAACCATAAACTACATGAAGTATACAGTTTAATAAGTTTTGATGCATGTATATACCCAGAAAACTATCAGCACAATCTAAGCAAACTACTAAACGTATTCATAGCTGCTCAAAATTTCCTCCTACACCTTTGTAATCCCTCCCACCTTCCCTTCCATCCCCCACCACAGCTCCCCTCCCAGGCCCCCATAGACCTGCTTTCTGTCACCATAAATTATCTACATTCTCCAAAGCTTATAGAAATGGAATTGCACCATGTTGACTCTTTTTTGTCTGGTTTGCTTCACTTGGCACAACTATTTTGAGATGTATTCACACTGTGTATGTAAATGGTTGATTCAGTTTTATTGCTTAATAGTATTCCATCACAAATAAATACTATAACTGTTTTCCTTTTCATTTGGGAGGTGTCCAGTTCTTGACTATTGCAAATAAAGCTGTGCAGATCCTATTGGTCAGTTCAGGCTCTTACAATAGACACTGCAGACTGAATGACCTGCACAACAGACATTTATGCTTTCACAGTTCTAGAGGCTGAAAGATCCACACCATGGTGGCAGTGTGCTTTGTTTCTGGTGTTTCTTCCCACATTGAAGGCAGCTTCCATCTTGCTGTGCACTCGCATGTCCTCAAAGAAGTATGTTCACTGATACAGTGAGAAAGAGAGACAGAGCAAGATGGAGAGGCAGAGAGACACAGGGAGAGGGAGACAGAGACAGAGACAGAGACAGAGACAGAGAACCTTGAGTCCAATTGTATAAGGACACTGATTCTTTACCATCAGGGTACCACCTTATTTCATTTAACTTTAACTGCCTCATTAGAGACCCCATCTCTAAATACAATCATTAGGTTAGAGTTTCAGCAAAGGAGTTTTGAAGACACACAACTCAGTCTTTATCTGGATGTGTGCTTTTATTTTGGAATAAAACGTGGAATGATGGATCCGAAGATACAGTAAGTGCCCAATTTATGAACATTCTAGTTGCAGATTTTCACAAGTGTACTGTGTAAGACTCACTTTGTCAGCTTGTGAACAAATCTTACATAACGAACAATTCTCCCAAAAAAGAACTTGTTTGTAAGTGGGAACTTACTTATACAAATAGCAAGTAAACACTTGGAAAGATATTTATTCACCACCACTGATCATAAGATAAATGCAAATTAAAATCGCCATGAGATAATACTATACCTAATAGAATGGCTGTCATACCAACCTACTACACTGCTAAGGTATATATGAGATGGAACAACCACTTTGGATAAGAGTTTGGCGGTTTCTTAAAAGCTGCACATACATCTTTTACAGGACTTTGTAGGAAAACTTTCTCTGCCTATCCAGAGAAACAAAATAGTAAGATGCTATTAAAACCACTTTTCAGGAAAAGAAAATCAATGTTCCAACATACATGTGCACAATGTACTCTATCTAAAGTTCTGTGTCAAAGCCTTTGATCTTTTCAGACATTTAAAAAAATTTTTTTCATCAAGATGACATTTTGTTCTAGTAAGCCTAATGTAGATAAGTCAAATAACAACACAAATTCATAATACATATCATCCTATGGAAAAGTGTCAGCCGTCTGTGAAGGACTTGAGCAATCCTCATCCTGGAAGAAGAGATTTCACTTTACATCAAACATCCCCACCCCTGGCCAAAACGTGTATTTCAGAATGCCAGACACACAATTCTTTTTAAAGCACTGTATTCTCTTTAAGAAGATGTAAACAAGGCATGTCTTCTGGCATCTTTTTATAGTTGCACATTGTCTAAATTTCTCAGAGTTAACTGTTACTTGAAAAACAAGAAGAGAGAAAATCTTTTGAAAACACTGACAATAAATAAGTCAATAACAATCACTTAAGTTCCCGATGGCAAAACCCAGACTCCCAGCCCCACTCCAGGTCTCCCTGACTCTAGGGCTGGAGTGGGCCCCAGCAGTTTCATTTCTAACAAAGTCCCAAGCGATGCTTATGCTGCTGGGCGGCAAGGACGTTTTAAGGATACAGTTCTAGAGATTCTCTTTCCAAAAGTATTAAAAATCATTCTTATTTACCTAGGAATGACTTGGGAGAGGATTCATTCTCCCCCAGCAGCCTCCGTATTATTCTACTTCCTCCATCAAATTAACCCCTGACAAGGAAAAGAGTTTTGAAGACCCTACTGGGTAGATAACATCAGAAACAATTGTTTTTTAAAAAGAGAAGTATCCCTGTTTTGGTTTCATCATACTATTTATTGCCTAATCTATTTGACCACCATATTCAGTTTTATTCTAATATTGTATTTGCTCAGGCACATCCAGTTTTTAAGACTATTCTTCTGCCTTCTGAGTCACTTCACATTTATGTCACTAACCAGCTATCCTCTAAGTACCAGGGCTTTAGATCCCATTTTTTGAAATGCCTCAAGGGCGTTAGCTGCATTCTGGGGGAAGTCATCTCCCAAGAGTGCCCTGCCATCTAAGCATCCATTGATCTTCAAATAAAAGTTCTTTGTAGCTACTGAGAATTCTTACTTTGCACAGTGTATTAGTCACTCTTCTGTCAGCAGGATGAAATACCTGACACCCGTAATTTAAGGGATGAGAGATTAAATTTGACTCACAGTTTCAGAAGGGTCAGTCCATGGCAGGCTGACTCCAAGGCAGAAGAGGCATGAGGGAGGAAAACTGTTAAACCCATGGCAGCCAGGAAACAAAGATAGAAGGGGGAGGGGGAAGGGGA